CCTTCTCACCTGCCCCCCCGGCGTTCCCCGCCCTCACGCCGGGATTCCCGGGGATTTTCCCACCGTCTCTGTACCCCCGGCCCCCCTTGTTACCACCCACGCAACTACTCAAAAGTCCCCTCAACCACGCTCCAGACGCGAAGCTCCCGAGCCCCCTCGGGAACCCGGCGCTTCCTCTGATCTCCGCGGTGAGCAACAGCAACCAGGCGCTTCGGGAGAGGAGAAGTGCGAGAGCAGCCTGGAAAACTCCTACCTGGAGAAGCTAAAAGCCCGGAACAGCGACATGTCCGACGGCAGCGACTTTGAGGATGTCAACACAACCACCGGCACGGACCTGGACACCACTACTGGCACCGGCTCCGATCTGGACAGCGATGCGGAGAGCGACAGGGACAAAGCGAAAGACAAGAGCAAACAGATGGAGAGCAAGCCAGACTTTGTCAGCAGCTCCGTGTCTGTGAGTTCCACCAACAGCACGAGTGAGATCCCTCTCTTCTATTCTCAGCATTCCTTCTTTCCTCCCCCCGAAGAGCACCTGCTCCCCACCACGGGAGCAGCCAATGACTCTATTAAAGCTATTGCCTCCATCGCGGAGAAATATTTTGGGCCTGGCTTTATGGGGATGCAGGAGAAAAAGATGGGTTCGCTCCCGTATCATTCCATGTTCCCCTTTCAGTTCCTCCCCAACTTCCCCCACTCACTCTACCCTTTCACGGAGCGCACCCTCAACCACAACTTGCTGGTCAAGGCAGAACCAAAGTCACCCAGGGACCTCCACAAAGTGGGCAGCACCAGCTCAGAGTCGCCTTTTGATCTCACCACGAAGCCAAAAGAGATTAAGCCAATCTTGCCGCCGCCGAAGGTCCTGCCAGCCCCGGCCTCGGGGGAGGAGCAGCCGCTGGACCTGAGCATCGGCAACCGCATCCGAGCCAGCCAGAACGGAGGAAGAGAGCCACGGAAAAACCACATTTATGGGGAGAGGAAGCTAATGGCAAGTGAAGTCTTACCCAAGATTTCCCAGTCTCAGCTGCCTCAGCAGCCATCCCTGCATTACCGCCGAAGGTCCTGCCAGCCCCGGCCTCGGGGGAGGAGCAGCCGCTGGACCTGAGCATCGGCAACCGCATCCGAGCCAGCCAGAACGGAGGAAGAGAGCCACGGAAAAACCACATTTATGGGGAGAGGAAGCTAATGGCAAGTGAAGTCTTACCCAAGATTTCCCAGTCTCAGCTGCCTCAGCAGCCATCCCTGCATTACGCTAAGCCATCGCCCTTTTTCATGGACCCCATATACAGGTATTAACATACCCTGCCTTAAGCATTTCCTCTAACGAGCCGATTTGCTAGCTGATGCCGCAACTCGAGGGAGATGGGGATGTGGGTTGTGTAGAAAGAGCAGTGGAAGTCCACTGTGGTCGATCGTGCTTCTCTCTCCTTTGTCACAGCACGGTGAATTTTCTGAATTGAAGGGGCGTAATCAATATGTATAAAGAACACATCCTTATTTTGATAAAGAAGAAGCTTGACCTATTTAAGGACTCTCCCACGAGCCAACATTAAGATGGCACTTCTGCTGGGGAAATTCCAGAGGTTTGATTTGATAAGAATGCAGAGTTCAGATGCCTCAGAGCCCGGGCTCTCATGGCTTGGGAATGAGTCAGGAGCCCTGGGAGCCTGGAAATGCAGCTCTCCCACTGACTGACTTGATGGCCCTTTGTGAGCCACTTCACCTTTCTTTCCCCCCCATCCCCCTTTTTTCCCTCCAATTCCTTTTCTTAGAGTTTTTCGGTCCGTAGGAGCTGCTGTTGTGGACCCAGCCTTTTGAAACATGTTTTAGTCTAGAGTAACAAGTACTGTGTAAATACACGGGAGTGTGTTACTATCCAGATCTATCCTGGATCCATTTTTTGCAGACATATCTCTCTTAGAAGATAACGAGGGGTTTCTAGTTTTGCTCGAAGCAGATGTTTTTGGAGGAAGGCCTGATTCGTTCTGTCGTTCCCAGAAGCAGCTGAGTGCGGGAGGCGGGTGGAAGCAGGAGGGTGAAGTTACCCAAATGCCAGTTAAACTCCCAGAAGGAAGGCTTGAGTCCTTTGTTGGTTTGGAGCTTTGTATAATACCTGTTTCTAAAGGAAAATCATTTTAAGCTTTAAGGGCAGGCTGCCAGCGTTACCCATCCGGGCACTGGCGCTACCTTTGCTTTCTCCCTGCCACGGAGGAGACGTGTTTGCAGCGAATCCCACTTGTTTAGAGCAAATTCCAGTGAATAGAGGTCTCCCAAACTAGTTTGATTTAGACGTGAACACAGCAGTTAAGTCTCCCTTAGGATGGACTTGATACCATCCCTTTTGGAGCGTGGGCTTGGCCCGGAGGGGTGGGTTGAGCAGCCGGGTCCCGAAGCAAGCGGGTTCTCTCGCCCAGCTCGAGGTAACTGTGAGCAGAGCCGGCGAGTTCTGCGTGGGGACCCTCGCTGCCACCCGGCCTGACGGGACGCTCTGAGCACTGGACAAGCTCATCGTCGCCACGGGGCGAGCGTGTTGGCACGGGGATGGCTTGCTCACCGCTTCAGAGGGCTGAGGAGGAGAAGCAGGCAGGAGAACAGCACCTCTGCTGCTGCCTCGCTGCTGTTGTGCGCTTGATAACTGTGGGAAAAAATGATGTCAATGTCTAGCCAGGCCAAAGAGCTGTCAGCTGAGATGAGGATTAGCGAGCCCTCGTCGCTCGCGGTTGAGAAAGCGTCTCTGGCTTTGCCGGCGCTGCGCAGCGTTGCTTACACCCTCTGTGATGGCAACGGCCACACCACAGCCCACGTAGGCTGTCTGGGACCCACCGTGGGCATCTCCTGGAAAAATCAGGAATGATGTCAATTGTTGGTTTTTTTTTAAAAAAAGGTGCTTCAGTAAATAAGTGGGGTAGGGAGACAAAAGCTCCGTGTTAGCTTTGGGTCCTGCCACCTCTGGGCATTCTCAGTAAGAATGTTAAAATAACACGGGTTAAAAAAGCTGTTGCCAATTAAAATAGCAGCCCCGGGAAAACCGTAAAGATCCAGAAGACAGATGGAAGTGAAGGATGGGGGCATCGTTTGTTGCATTCCATGGGGTGCATATAGTTTTAGTAATATATTAAAATAGAAAGTCAGCAGTGGAGTTGCTTGCAAATCAGACTTCTGATGTAATGAGCTAAACAGCAGAGCTTCCAAGTCCCAGCTTAAAAAATATGGAAATATTTTGTTTCTAAACTTCTCTTTATCAGACTCTCTCACATCATTTGGCTCCTTCGTTTTTCTCCCAAAGGCCACTTAAATCCTTGACATTTTCTCCTGGTGATATAATTTAATGCAGCCAGACAGCCTGAAATCAGCGCAGTTTTTAGCTCAGCCTCGTTAAGGTACCGTTCTCAGGCACTGGGCTGAAAAGATCAGCTTAATCCTCCAGTCGCAGCGGAATCCAGCTCTGACGAGGCAGTTTGTGCGTGTGTTGTGTTCTCTGGGTAAATCGTGGCGCAGATTTACCTTGTGCCAGGGAGAAACTTCTTCTTACGCGTTGTTTTACAGGTGGTTGTTTTCCTGAAAATCCATGAAAACGCACACCTGGCAAAGCACAGGAATTCAGACTGTGCTTCCAAAGGCAGCTCTTCTCTTACCTTCTACCTAAGAAAAACCTAATGCAGGTTAAATGCAGTTTGCAAAATAGCACCCTGCCTGACTCTTCTTTTAAACTCCTTGGTAATTTGACCCACACACCAATCAGCTGAAATGCAGCAAAATCACTTGCTCTCATTTATGCCAGACTAATATAGTTAAAATTACTCTTATTGTTGGATTTCTGCTGGTTTAGCTGAGATGGACTCTATTCCCGTAATTTAAAGATGCAGCTGCGTTTATTGGAGCTGCTTTCATAACACTTTTTTTTCCTCATAGAGGACATTTCGGTTTCTCCTTTTGTTGATTCCACACCACGGTTTCCCTGCCAGTAGAATATTTTGTGAAAGCAAAGCCAGTGTTTTAAAAAACAAGAGCCTAACTTCAGGATTGTCTCTGCCTAGTAAGGTGCCTAAGGGTGGAATATTGGAATAGCCCAAAGTGAGAGCAGAAGAATTTGTGTTCCCAAGTCACTTCAGGAATCTCCCACCGGTTCCAAATTTTTTCAGTTGTTGTCCACATACGCTCGCCAAAGAAACTCAAATTATGTCTCAGCTGCAAGGGAGGAAACAAATATGAAACACCTAATGATTTCAGCACGCTTGGGGCTGTGAAGTCTGGCCCAGTGTTAACTCTTCAGATAAAGACAAACTCTCAGAGGCACGTTTTTTGGAATGCAGTGGCTGCCTGCTGTGGGCTCTAGAGCTTCTTCCACTTAAACATCGCTTTTGCTGGGAATTAGGGGTTTTTCATTGCACAACAGCAGAGGCTTATAAACAGCTGTAGCAGAGGCATTAGTTCTTTCACAGAAAGATCAAAATGTTTTCTTAGTCGTCAGTCCAATGGCTAAAAAAAACTGGCCAAGGGAGTGGATCCCTTTCCCTATCGTTTCCAGTGCCTCTTGCCGGGTAACTTGTGGGTCAAAATTCGCAATATCCAGTAGAAAGGGAAGAAAGACATTTGTGTTAATAGGAGAAACAGCCTCTGCAAACAGTTCGGCTGTTCCTTTGCTGCCTGTAGCCCTGTAAGGTGAGTAACACTCTGTAAGGTGTGTGCCCAACCCTCTGTAAGGTATGTAACCCTCTGTGTTGTTGTCCAGCAGGGTGGAGAAGCGGAAGGTGACAGACCCTGTGGGTGCCCTAAAGGAGAAGTACCTGCGACCCTCCCCGCTGCTTTTTCACCCCCAGGTAAAAGCAGTGATGTTATGTTGCGGTGTTGGTTGAATGCTCCAGAGCTTTTGAGACGGGCTTGGCACAAACAGGTCGCTGGGATCGAACTCCAGACAGCTTTACTGTTTGAGAGAGGACGGGAAATGCCAGCCCCTCAGAAAGGCACAACTAAGTCCGGTGCCACCAAGGCTATTCCTGAGAATCAACCTCCGTTTACAGCCCCCCTCATCTTAGAAGTGGTAGCTAAACTCTCCAAGCAGCAATATCACTCTTTGCCCTTGAGATTCCTTGCTCTGTCACGATAACGCGATGAGCTCTGCCCAGCACCCTCTCCGGTGACACGGTTGGTCACCAGCATCCTCGACGGCCCCTGCTGGGACCTGAGCCCTGTGGGCATTATTGTGCTCTCCTTTATACTCACATACATTGTTCTCCTCTGATAATATTTCCCACCTTAGATAAATAACTTGCAGGTTTGTGAAAGCTGGATCCTGGTTGCTTTCACAGCTAAACTTAGTTCCCTCATTGTTTCACATCAGCCTCAGAGTTTGGTTAATAACTTCCCCCGATTTTTCCTTCTTACGGACTGGATAATGGTGACAGGCTGGCCAGGAACATCCTGTGTTTGTGTGAGTTAGAATAGTGGGGATATCTGCCTGTAAAGAATCTGATAGCAGGGAGGAGCCAGTGTGGCAAAGCAACCCAACAAGACGATGAGAAACGTACAGCCCCTGAGCAGCAGCAAGCATTGGGCGGAAGGTTATTGACATTGTTCCCGAAATCCTGACCACGTCCTCTTCCCATGGCAATGAAAGGTCTGGTTATCTCTAAGAGCTTATCACTCGGAGTCGCCTAAAATTTACAATGAGTCGAGCCCGAAACTTCCTGACAACTGATTTTTAATAAAGCGGGTTGCTGTAAAGATCACTTGGTCTAGAGAGTTGCTGTTCCCGGGCTGCGTAACCAATCGGGCATTTCAGACACAGTGACTGAGGACAGGTCGTTTGTTCAAGAATATGTGACATTCTTAGTAGCAGATCCCCATCCCACATTATCCTGGATCTTTTCCTAAGGAATCATGTTCTCGGTCACTCTAAAACACGAGTCTGGTCCCAGCCTTCTCTCTTGTGCATAATTTCCCAGCTCTCAGAGAGGGCCCTGGGTGGGATGTGAGCAAGCCAAAAGATGGGATAAAGACGGAGCATTCAGAAGATGCTTCTCTCTTAAAATGAATTTCAAGGGACTTTCATTTCTTCACCAGTCGTTGACCATAGTTTGCTCTGATGGGAGTTATTCTTGCATTGTCTATTTTAAGTGAAACTCTGGGCAACATAAATAAATGGTGTAACTTTTTGATAACTTAATGGAAAACCTCTTCTCACCTGTTAAGTTTCTTTTCTTCTCCCCTTCTTTTTTATTATAACCAGGCAGTTGTTCCCTAAATAGCAAAGTGCCTTTACCTCTGGAGAAGCTGTGGCCAGTGTTTAGAATTTTAAAATGAGCCTACGGCTATCAAGCCAGCAAACATCTCTGACTAAGTGCCTAAAGAACAGGGCACAACAAAAGATATCTCCAGGTACTCCAGCAAAGGGCTGAGTGGCACAGCTCTGAAAGATCCGGATAGCATTTTAACGTGATGGTTTTGTTACATGACTGGCAGCTGGGGCAGAGCTTTTGCTGTAAATGATCAAGTAACCTTTTCAAGTGGCTGGTGCTAAGTATTACTTACTATTTGTCATGGGCTGGGAGCCTCCAACTAAGGGGCCGTGGATCTATTATCAGGAAACGGGTTTTACTACTCCTCTTTTTTACAGCTTATGAATGGTTGTCAGCCTTCCACAATGTATTCTTTGGTGATTAAGACGACTTTTTTTTTTTTAATAGTCGTACATTTTGAACAATATCGTGGTTCTCCTTCCTCCCCCCCAGCCCAGTTTAATAAAGTGTAAACGCGCAAAAGGTCAGCCCTTCCTGTACAATAGAGCATCTAGTTTTGATCTATGGCTTCCTACTGCCTTCCGCTCGCTCGCTGTCCCCGACGCGCGGGCTGACTCTCCATCCCGGCAGCTCCCGCTCCCCCCGGTCCTCCCTTCTTCCCCAGTGATGTCATCTGCAGGGAGGAGGCAGCTTTATTGCTGCCTTGTTTGTTTTATCCCAGTTTTTCTGCTTGATATCTCAGAAGTGCTCTCAAGAGTGCATGAAATCGAAGGTTGGAGCTGTCAGCGTGGTTCTCCGAGTTGCATTTCTCTCTTGGATTTGTATTTCCTGTTTTACTCTAATGAAAGTAAAAAGGGTTTTCTTGAGGCACAATATTCATGCATATCTTTTTTTTTTTTTTGCATAAGAGCCAGTTTTTCTTCTTTTCTGTCCATTTTTGCTTTCCCCTTCTCCTGTATCTCCAGGTTTTTCCCTTTCTCCCTCTTTCTGGGATTGAACCTGGGGTTTGTGTGAGAACATGGCTTTGCTAAGTCACACAAGCTCAAGCTGACAAAGGCACCCAGGAATGTTTTACTCGGTGTCAGGTCCCCAGGCCTGTGTGCCCGTCCCGGCACAGCTCATGCTCCTTCCTCACCGTAACTCATCACCCTCAGCTCACGTGAAGTATTTTGGTTGCGATTCCCTTTTGCTCCAGGAAGCTCAGCCTTCTCCCACCCACCCTTCCATCACCTTTACTGGCTTCTGAACCTTCCTTACAAGTAATTAAAATGTTGGCCTCATCACTAGGCAAACTCCCTGCGGACTCGCTCCGTCCCGAGTGGGATCTTAACTCCTCCTCTCCCCAGTTGCTCCCTCTTGCCCCCCGGGCCTCAGCCCCTGCCCTGCCCCAGCTGCCTGCTCAGGGCTCGCATGTTCCCCTGAGCTCCCCTCACAGGGTGCTCTGGGAGAAATCCAACCTCCTGGCTTTCCAAGACTTTGAGAGGAAGGTTTGGGTGGCGAGTTCTGCATCCAGCAGTTGACCGTGGTGTCTAATTGCAGCATCATCCCTGGAGAAAGGGAAGCCAAGCGTGTTCTGAGATAACTTCTTTAATCTGAGATGCTGAAAGTAGACACATGCGCACTGCAGAAGGTAGACGAGTGCCTGATTTCTGAGATGGCTTTGCTGGTTGTATCTTTTCTGACTTCTCTGAGCACGATTTCTCTCCTTGCTGGCTGGATTCATTTCACACTGTGCACGAGCTTCCAAGAGTAAGAGCAAACGTCAGTGACAGGTTTTGACCAACATACTGGTGCTAAGAGATATATCTTATGCATCATTGTTCTTCCTGTGGATTTTTATGACACGAGGTCTCGCCTTGTTTTGTAGATGTCAGCCATAGAAACGATGACAGAGAAACTGGAGAGTTTTGCGGCCATGAAGGCAGACACGGGCACTTCCCTGCAGCCCCTTCCCCACCACCCCTTCAACTTCCGATCTCCGCCACCCACGCTCTCCGACCCCATCCTGCGCAAGGGCAAGGAGCGTTACACCTGCAGGTAAGGGCCTGGGCACCCTGCGGGCGTGAGGCCGACCCTGGGAGCTGCGCCAGCCCCGGCGTGCGGCACAGCAGCCTCACGTGGACATCTCTGCTGTCTCGGCCGGGGTGGGAGGAAAAACAAGGAGCAGCAGAATTAGATCGGAGCATTCGGATGACTAATTCACTCTGAAATAGCTTGTTTTGTCTGGTAGAAAATCAGCGTCTTCTGTGTGCTCTGTAATTTTTAATAACCTTGAGAGCAGATCTGGAGATTCTCAAGCAAGCGGAATTCTCCGAGCCAAGTCTCTCGTGTGTGGCAGCAAATGCCACAGTTTCCAATGCGAGCACAATCTCAGCTATGCGAAATTAAGGAATTTAGAAAATGGCATACAGTGAACAACTTTTTCCAGCACAATTGTATCCACAGAAATATTCACGTACCCTTTGCGGCTGTAAAAGCTCGTGTTGGAGCAGATCAACCTCTGTGCAGTTTCACCTGCGACAACAAGAGGTTCTCGGGGCGGCTCGCGCTGCAGCGTTCTGGGTGCAGTAAGTGGGCACCCGCTTTGTTCGGCGTATGCTTCAGTTCAGCCTTGCCACAAAAGCTGTGGGCTCAAATTTCGGTTAGAAATTTGAGGTTTCTACCTGCAATAGGGACTCAACTTACGTTTAGATACACACTCAGGAGTTAACACTTGGGTTTTCGTTCTTGATGGACACTCGCATTCATCTTCAGGACATCTGAAGGTGCTGAATGTCTCTGAAATTAAGAAACTCTCTCCATATGTTCCTTCTACAGCAGTAAGCACCAGGTTTCACAGTCACAGAATGTAACCCTTCATCCTTTGTATTTTATTTCCCAATTAATATTTTTTATTTATACTTCCCTTCCGTTTGAGTTTACTGTGAATCAGATTTCTTGTGGAACACAGTCCCGTCTCTTATTTCATTTCCTACTCCTTGTCCTAAGCTGTCAGCTCACAACAGCATGGCCCAGTGACAGTAACCCAACGCTGCAGCATTTATCCACGAGAAAATTCTGTCAGTTCGAGAAAGATGATCAGGTAGATTCTGTACGATAAGCAACTAAGCAGGGCAATAAGGGAGGGCTATAAAAACGTCAAGCAGTGCATCAGCTGCTAAGCCAGCCAGCATTTGGGTCTGGGCCGAGTGTTCCGAGAGGGCTTTTTCTGCTTCCCACACTTCCCAAGGATGCGGTGTCTCGGGTGGAGGTGGGTTACACCAGGATCTCACCGCTGTGAATCCCGTTAGTCTGGGGCAGGAGTTGCTCTGCTAGATTTTACTCCCCATCTCACTCTTTCAGTACGTGGGTGCTGAGAGGTACCGGTGTGTGAAGGAGCGTCCCGAGCTGGGAAGCGGGATTGAGCCGAGCATGTCAGTGGGAGCTGGTGAGGCTGTTTGGAAACAACGTGGTGTGGCTGAACCTTCGTGCACTGACGGGTGCTTTGGCTTTCACCGTCTAGGTACTGTGGTAAGATCTTCCCACGCTCAGCAAACCTGACGAGGCACCTGCGGACACACACCGGGGAGCAGCCCTACAGGTGAGCTTGTCCCTGATAAAACCCCATCCCAGCACGCTCCTCCTTCTCGGTTTTATTTTTCCCCCTTTCTAAGAAGCCGTGCTGGTGTCCTGCTGCAGCCCTGTGGCTGCATCCAGGGATTCATAGGACTGTGCATTATATGTGCCAGCCAAAAATAATGAGGCTTGGCAGCTTGAAGACAGACACTTAACTTATATTTAGATGTATGCTGGCAAAGGAGCGGTCTGATTTGCAGTGTTGTTCGACACTCACGTTCACCATTCATCTCAAGGACAGCTGAAGGTGCTGAATGTCTCTGAAAATCGGGCTGGTTTGAAGGGCTTGCCAGTAAGTTAACTGTTGGGTCTAACATGATGTCTTTTATTTTTTTCCTAATGCATATCAGAGGTGCCTGGAGTAGTGGATCAAAAAAAAAAACAAAACCAAACCAAAAGAAAAGCCCTGTAGTATACCTGCTTTAAAATCTAAGTTAGGAAGCGTCCTACCTTAAATCACAAAGTTTACAAAAAGCGACCAGAGAGGGGAATTCACACACTGTTTCCCAGGTTCAGTTGTTGAAGTGAGTGCTTTCAATCTGAATAAAAACTCACAAGAAAATACATGTAATGTATGTGTGGGGGTATCCACCTCACATGTAATATGTGTGGGATGGAATATTTCTCACGGGAACTTTTTCCCCCAGCATGTCCTCTTAGTGTTTTGCAGTCTGAATCAAAAAACTTTGGCAAAAAACTATGCTTTGGTTGGCTGGTTTTTTTAGAATAGGTACGTATATAAGCAAAGCCGAATCAGTGACGAATGGAGAGCTCACTGAAGATGAAGTGTTGTGTTTTCCATAACGTGACTAAGTGTTTTGCGTGTTGTTGAGCAATAGTAGCAATTCAAACAGTTTCATTTTTGGTGGCTAATATTATGGCGTCTCTATACAAAGTCATGAGTTTGCAACAAAGCTAATGTAATAGTTATTATATAAAGAGAAGCACAAGCAAATTTATGAGCAGCAAAAGGCCATGTGGTCAAATACACGCAGTTTTTATGCTTAGTTTAACTTAAGAAGCTGCTCTCTCTGCCACATTGTGAAGCCCGGTACATTTTTTTTCCATACCAAGTCGTGCAGAATTCTGAGTGTAGACGTTAGGTAAATCAAAAATAAAAAAAGCCCTCCCCAAAGCAGACATATATTTTGGAACTGTTCCCCATTCTGATTTTTCAGTTGCGCTATTTGATATGGCTTGAATGAATACTGAGCATTCACTACACACCCCTGTCGGACTGAAATGCTTGCTCCCGATTATTCAGAGATTGTTAGTTCAGTTTTCTTCCAAAAAAGGAGACTTGCAACTTAACAAAGGTTAGGAAAATAAAGATTTATTTGATCTGGTCTTCTCCCAGAAAATGGCCTGAGTGTTTTTTTTGTAATAGAGGTTTGACTTCTGGACAGTGTTGCATTATAATAGCACTCCTGAGAGTTAGTGCTGCGCTTACAGAAGAGCTTAATTATCATTGATTTTCTTGTGCTCTCAGAGAGCTGAGATTTCCAACTTCTGTGGCAATAATTGTTTTCAAAGCTTGTTTTTTAAGTGCCGACTTTATGCAGGTAAAAGGAGGTTGCTGCTTTTTCAGTGTGTCACTGATGTCTGTCCTGCAACTTTTCTTCGAATTGTTTGAATTGTTGGGGGTTTTTTGACTTTGTCAGTGTTATATATTCATCCAGACAAGAATTAAAACTTTCTTACAGCTACCATGGACTGACCAAATGTCCAAGCATGGGTCAAGAACAACTAAAAGCAATTTGATTCAGCAAGACTTTATTTTCCTCTTCCCAACGCCCGTTCCCTCCAGGATGCCATCTGATTCCGGAATCACACTCAGTCCTGACGCATTGCCTGCAAGGTTGGGATCCCCGCTACAAGGATGTGCTTCCTGATGGCTGTTTTAAATTTGATTTTCTTTAATCTCCTTTTAGGCCCCCATGTCCTGTTGTCTGCATTAATCTGGAACTAACAACTAAAGCAGATATCTACTGTGTTGTTGAAAACTGCATATTGTTCAGTAAAAATCTCTTCTTTCTCATCTTCTTTTTTTTACAATGTAGGCTAAGTTCACCCCTGGTGTAAATGCACTGGAGATGGAGTTACTCCAAGGAAGATTAACTGTCCACGCATTTTGCGCTTTGTCGCTGCATTTCTGTCTTTATTACAGCTCACATTATGCATCAAATAAGTGTAAAATTCTACAAGTGCCATCATGCTCTCGAAACTTTACCAAGTGCATTACCGAACGCCGCGCTGTCCCCTCTGCAGTGTTACCAAGTGTCGTAGCCACACGGTGACAGCTCAGTCACCCCTTGCGACGTTACTGGGCTTTTCTGTCTCTTTTTGCCTTCCAGCAGCGTGACACCGGGTGCCTGGGGCTCTGAGCAGCCCCTGCCATCCCCTAGAGCTCCTGACTCCCAAATTTGCCTCCTTCTTTGCGATCGTTCGCTTCCGCTTCCTATTTTTTTAGCCCGCTGATGTGTTACTTTAAACTGATAAGGAAGAAACTTTACTAGTGTTTGGTCAGTGTGTTTACAAAGCAAATACCGCTTCTTTTGAGTTTTATTCTTCTCCTGCCTTCCTGTTCACCTCTTCCCTGGGTTTAAGCTGGTTCCTCTGTCTGGGCCATTTATTTAGATTAAAACCAGCAGAGATCCAAGCACTGACCCCTCTGGGACCACAAATAAAGCAGAACGTCTCCCTCGTCCCTTTGCTTTCAGACTCCAGCTATTGCTCCTTCCCAGTGCCCCTCTGTTTCCTATTTTTTTAACAAGCTCTTTATCCTTCCTCCGTACCTTAACCTGGGTCCACATAGCTCATGGTTAGAGCAAGGACCTGTCAGAGGAAACTTTTTCAAAGACTTCCTGAACACCCAAATAAATTGACGTGCAGGGGGCCGGATCGCTCTTGCCTCGCACATGCCAGCGCCGCCTTTGAAGTCTCTGGAGCCGCTGGTGTGAGTGATGCAGCGAGACCCGGCCCGGGCACCCAGGGCACTCGGCAGCCCCCTTTTGCCCCCCTTTGCAGCCCTTTGCACCCCTCGTGCTCCCCTGAAAGGAACCAAAGCGGGATTCTGCTCAGAAAGGCGCAGAGCTGGGGGGCGGCAGGCAGGGAGCAAAGACCTGGGATGGGCAGAGGCGAGGAGGGGGCTGCTGGTACAGCCCCGGCAGAACCTGACCGGGCAGAGCTGCTTACCACGGGATTTGGGACATTTTGGGCTGGTTTGGGCATCTCTGCAGCACTGGAGAGCAGAAGCTGCTGAAGCCCGGGGTTGCTGGCCGCTGGGAGGAGAGTAGGAGCTGGAAATCTGTGCGTGTGTCACAGTCCATGTATAAACTCTGCTGGTTCTTGCTGATGTTCAAATAACGCCTTGTTTTCTTTAGTTGTTCAGTTCGTGTTTTTTGAAAAAATGAAAAAAGAAAAACTTTTGAAGTCTGAGAAAACTGTGGTTTAAAAAGAGGTTTTGCCTTCTTCCCAGGTTAATCATAATAAAGGTTCATTATTTGAAATATCTTTATTCTTTTTGGTGAGTTAACAGTAGGAAATTTGGAGGTGGACATGGAATCCATAAACATTCAGTGAGAGAGAGTGTTTCATAAATGTATCTTTGCTATTTCCAAAAATAATACCCATTTATTTTTAGAGACCAAATAAAAATCGCAGCTGTGGCACATCTGGAAACTCTTGTGTGTGTTTCACAGCATAGGTTTTTGTTAATTTTTTTTTTTTATATACTCGCATCTCCTTCCCACATTTGAACCTGTTGTGTTTGGAGGAATTGACACCACGTCCTCAGTGTCAGGGCAAAGCCAAGGTCAGGCCTGGGTGACACAGGCACGAGGGGAGTCCCATGTG